TTTTGTTTTGTGTTGTTTTGCTTTGTTCTGTCAGCACCGGACTACCAGCATAAAAGGCATGGCTGGGGTTGAGCCTCTCAATGAGCCAGCCACAGGGGAGGGCCACCAACAAACAGGCCAACAACAATCAAGACTAAGAACAACAGGATAAGCCACACAAGGAGCATTCCTAGAGCATCCAGCTCAGGAGATGTAGCCTGCACTACTGAGTCCCACAGGACTGTTACCACATAAGTCAACTCCTACCACATAAGGTCACCACACGAAGACAGAGAGTAAAATCAGATCTATCTAGTATGTAGAAACAGACAAAAGAACAGCTAAAATGGAAAGACAAAGAAACAACCCTCAAATGAAAGAAAAGGAGGAACCCCAAGAAAAAGAGCTAACTGAAATGGAGGCAAGCAATTTATCAGGCATAGAGTTCAAAGTCATGGTTATAAGGATGCTCAAGGAACTTAGCGAGAATTATAAGGAACTTGGGAAGAAGTACATCAGCCCACAAAAGGACAGAGGGACCATCAATAAGAACCACTGTCAAAGATAAGGATCATTCTCAAAGATAGACCACAAGGTAGGACAGAATAAGCCTTAACAAATTCAAGAAAATTAACATATCAAACATTTTCTTGGATCACAGCAACATGAAACTGGATCAACCTCAGTAAAACCAGTTGGAAATGAAGACTGCTCTATCTGAAATGAAGAATACACTAGAAGGAATTACAAGCAGGCTGGAGGAAGCAAAGGATCAAATCAGCAAGTTACAAGACAAGATGCAAAAAATACCCCATCAGAGCAACAACAACCAAAAAAAAGACTTAAAATGAAAAAGGATGGTTTAAGGTAACTCTCAGCTTCATTTTTAGCTTAATACAGAAGTTAATGTAGGCCAAGACAGAAGTTCTCAATTTCAGAAGAAAACTCATACTACCTTTGTACTCTTAAAAATTATTGGAGACACTCAAAGAGCTATTCTTTTTGTAGGACATAATAGAACAAATCTGACAAACAATGTAAAAGATCAGTACACTAAAAACTACAAAATACTGCTGGAAGAAATGAAAGAAGGTCATAAACAAAAGAGATATACCATCTTCAAGGATAAGCAGACTCGATATTAAAATGTCTATTCTTCCCAATCTTATCTATAGAATCAAGGCAATCCCAATCAAAATCCCAGCAGGCTACTGTGCAGAAATTGTCAAACTGGTGCAAAAATCCATGGAAATGCAAAGGAACCTAGAACAGGGCCAACTATGAAAATAAAGAACAAAGTTGGTGGACCCACACAAGTTCGAGATCCATTACAAAGCTATAGTTATCCAAGCAATGAGGTACCACCAGTTAGACAGACATCTAGATCAATGGAAGAAAACACGGTCCAAACACAGACCAACACACACGGACAACTGATTTTTAACAAAGGTTCCTAGGCAATTCAGTGGAGAAAGGATGGTCACTCCAAAAACCGTGCTGGAACAACTAGATGTGCCTATGCCAAAAGAACTTCTATCCGTACCTCACACCATGTATAAAGCTTAACTCAGAACGGAGCACCGACCTAAACATTAAAACCATAAAACTTCTAGAAGAAAACACTGGTAAACGTGGGTTATATATATGTTAATTACAGACAACTTAAAAAGCATTACCTATAAAAGAACAAATAAACACAATGGACATCACCTAATTTAAAGACTTCTGAACTTTAAAAGACATTGTTTAAAATATGAAAAGTCAAGACTGGGAGAAAATGTCTGCAACTCTATTATAGGATGTACAATATATAAAAAACTTCTAAAGCTCAATAATAAAAACAACAAATACTTCAATTAAAATGGGAAAAAGATTCAGAAAGACACTTCACCAAATAAGATATGCTAGAAGCAAGTAAGTGCATGAAAAGATGCTCAACATCATTAGTAATTATGGAAATTCAAGTTAAAAGCATAATGAGATACCAAAACATCCCTATTAGAATGGCTACAGCTTTAAAAGAATGACCATAGAATTTAAAAATTTAAAAAGAATGACCATACCAACTGTTGGTGAGAATGTAAAAACTAGAATTTTCATATACTGCTGGAAGGAGTATAAGATGTAATGTCCCTGGCAGTTTATTAGCTTGTTGGCAGTTTCCTAAAGAGAAACATAGACCTACTATATTCTTCATTCCAATCCTAGGTATTTGACCAAGGGAAAAGAAAGCATAAGGTCATATAAATACTAGCACACAAATGCTCCTCACAGCGTTATTTGTAATAGCTAAAAACTAGAAACCCAAATGTCCAAAATATAAATAAACAAATTGCAGTATATCTATCCAAGGAAATACTACTTAGTAATTTTAAAAAGTATGATTATGAATGATACACACTATAAGAGATGAATCTCAAAATAAGTACGCTGGGTAAAGGAGGCCAGTCACACACCCCTATCTCCCACCTCCAAACCTCAAAAAGACACACTGTGTAATTCCATTTATATAAAGTTCTAGAACACAAACACATCTATGGTGACAGAAGGTAGACGAGGGAGGGACGGGGCAGGAAGAAAGGAGTACAAAAGGGCACCAGGAAACAAGCGATGAATCTTTCAGTGTTTTGATTGAGGGAGTGGTTTCACAGGTATACGTAGGCCAAACTTACCAAACTGTACTCTCTCTGTATTATTTGTTGTATTATAATTGTACCTCAATAAAGTTGTTCAGGAAAATTAAAGGTGGCTTTCCAAAGTACTTTTGGTATAGTGGATAAGACAGAAACTAAACCAGAATGGTTAAGGAGTGTGAAATGAGATATAGACTGTATTGATAGACTATTTCAAATTTTTTGGCTTTTAAGGGAATCATATAAATTGGGGAATAACAGAAGAACAGAGTTTATAAACATTGGAATTTTTAAATGGTAAGCAATAAAGGAGTTAAAGATTCAAGACAAAGAATAAATATTAAAAGACCCTGAGAAGGAAGGAAGAAGGTGAAATCTAGAACACAGGTAACAGCATTAGTCTTTGAGAAGAAAAGAGACACCCTCTGTTGGAATAAGTAACAGGAGGGTAAGCAGAGGATGGAATCAAATAAAAGCAACATGTAAAGTTGGTTTAAGAAATGTGAGGAGATGGTGAACACACAATACAATACACACACGATGTATTATAGAACTGTACACTTGAAAGCTATATAATTTTATGAACCAATGTTACCCCAATAAATTCTATAAAAATGTTTTTAAAAGTATTAAGAGGATAATAAATGTATTATCTCCAAATATCTTGAGAGATGGTCGTTTGCTGAGGGTATACATCTGAAGATTTCAAAGGTTTGAAGGGTAAAGGAAGTGTAGCCCTCACTGGTGTGGCTCAGCAGACTGAGCACCAGCCTGCAAACAACCAAAGAGTTGTCAGTTCAGTTCCAGGGCATATGCCTGGGTTGCAGGCCAGGTTTCCCTCCCTTCCCATCTCTCTAAAAATAAATAAATACTTTTTTAAAAAAAGAAAGTATAAAATAGTCATTACAAAAGTTGGGAAAAATGAACTTTCCAGAGAACCACAGTAATAAGATTGTTGGGCTCAGTTCAGGTTGCTAATCAATAATTTTTACTGATATCTGCCAAGTTAGTTCATCTTCCAACATCATTCAGGTGTTCAACAAAGATTTATCCAAGGAAAAAACTTTGTCCAGTGGTTGTGATAAAACACCACACACTCAAAGTGAGATAAATACATTTCAGGTATTTGCAAGAGGGTAATAACAGACAATCGATTCTACACTAGGTGAAAAGGAGATAAATGAGAAAAAAATAAAAGCCAATAGATTAGAGCTCTGAATAAAGCAGAACCCTCACAATGCAGACATTTGAGCAAGTGAACTATACAGATAAGACCGTTATTGGGGAATAAAACGTCTAAATCAGTACTTATAAATGAGAATTTCGCCAGTGATAACATTTAGGGCATGACCATGATGACAGTGAATGGGAAGTAGAGAAAAATTCTGCTTGTTATATCCTAGAAGACATGATTATTTGATTTAAATCACTACCCATTCACATGGTCTTTAAATCTGCCAATCTAATCCTTCTAATTACAATCTTGTCCAAACCCAACAAGTATCAATATTCCTTCTGCCCCTCCAGATTTGCTAAGAAATAAGAGATTACACAGTAGAGATGGTGCTTTAAGTCAGGGGTCAGTTAAACTTGTTCTGTAAAGGGCCAGAGAATATATACTTCAGGTGCTTTGGGCCACACAGTCGTACCTGTTCTGTTGCAACTACTCAACTCTGCCACTGTTGTGCAAAAGTGACCAGACGACACGTGAATGAATGAGCATGCTCAGTAAAACTTTACCGATGTACACTGAAATTTGCATTTCATATAATATTCATATATCACAATGTATTATTCTTTTTATTTCCCCAACCATTTAGAAATGCATAAATCATTCTTAGCTCACAGGCCATATAAAAACAAGAGCCAGGCCAGATTTGGTCCACGGGTCATAGCTTGCTGACTCAAGCTTTAACTGAAAAGGTAATTATTAATATACCAGTATAAATACAGTTGACTCCTGAACAATGTAGAAGTTACAGGTACCAGCCACCACCGCAAATGTGCAGTTGAAAATTCATGTATAACTTCTGAATCCCCAAAACCATCCCTTAATATCCACAGAAGATTGGTTCCAGGCCACCCCCTCCCCCAGCAGATACCCACATCAGCAGATCTTCAAGCCCCCTATATAAAATGGCCTAGATCAGTGCATACAGGCAGCCCTCTGCACCCACGGACACCCAACTGTGGAATGACAACAGTACAGGCATTTACTGAAAAATATCCTTACATAAGTGGATCCACCCAGTTCAACCCACGTTGTTCAAAGGTCAACTGTATAACATACTATTTAAACATAAATATTTTTTTAGTAATGAGTTTCAAATAACTGCTTCATGTATTATTTCTGATATTTACACATGCTGGTATTTAAAATTACAGTACCTTTTCTCTGATACCCCTTTTAACTTGCTCATCTTGATTTACTTTATTTCACCATTGCAGATAATCTAAAAAAAAAAAAAGTTAATTAAATATAACTCTGTTTCCTATACCTTAGATGTCATAAAAGCCATACAACTGAAAGTTTCTATTATGAGAAACACAAGATAACACTGGAAACCAAAGAAGAATGTTTGTGTTCTACGTGCTTCTGGCAAGTCACTTCAATGCGCAATATGTGCCTATTACCTAAAGTCAGCCAGTAAAATGCCACCAAAATCCTGGAGCGAAAAAAACGTCAAGGCCTAACATCATACAATTTACAATCTAGTGTTAAGATTTGTTAAGATTTCTTTGGAGACAAAATTATCATTCCTGTTCTAATGCTCTGTTTTAAAATACTCAAACCAACCGCAGCATTCTGGTATTAGTGTACTTATTGTCCACTATTCACATAGTGGCAAATACTGGTAACTATGTATAATTATTTCTATTTAAGAACACTTTTAAATTAATAACAAACTGTTCAAACAGAGTAAAAACCTGTAACATCATCTCATTTAATGTCCATAATGCATATTCAATCAATACAGGGTTCATCTTTACAAAGCACATACTATACTTTTTTTTTAAGATTTTATTTATTCATTTTAGAGAGAGGGAAAGAGAAGGAGAAAGAGAGGGAAGGAAATATCAATGTGTGGTTCCTCTCACGCACCCCATTCTGGGGACCTGGCCTGAACCCAGGCATGTGCCCCAACTGGGAATCAAACTGGCCACCCTTTGGTTCACAGCTTGCGCTCAACCCACTGAGCTACACCAGCCAGCCCTGTACTATACATTTAAAAACCTTGAATCTTGATTCACAAAATTTTGACAATCTTTCAGACTTTGTAACTCTTCACCCAAAAAAACTCTATCTTTTAACTTTATAGATCAATGTTTATTGAAGCAGAATTTTGCAACATCACTAAAAAAAAGACTACCACCAATTCAACAAGTTAATCGCATACTTATCAATGTTTAGTAATGCCACATATTTAAAAGAAAACAAGCATGCTAAGGAGCAGACATAGGTATGAGAAGATACAGGTATTCTCGATGTTTTTCTTCAATAACAAAGAACTTTTACTTCAACAAAAGATGCTTTTTTTATTTTTTTCTTATTAATTCGATTATTAAAGAGGAAACTTATCTTAGATTAGGTATAAAAATTACATGGTCTGTTTTTAAAGTTGTAAGAATTTTAGAATTTTCTATTCTTTCATTCAACAGACTTTTTTTAAAAAATGACTAGAAAGTCAAAATAACTTTCCCAACATCCAAATTAATTAAGACTTACTATATATTTGGGGCAGAGGGGTAAGGGGGGAAGGATCCCACATGTTTTCAAAAGTGTTGTTCCCAGGCATAAACAGAAGTGAACTTACTTCTTGTTGAGTGGTATGACTTCCTCTAAAACTACAGTGGCCACACATCTCATGAAAAGTTCGCTGTAAATTTGGAGTTGCAAAGATTAATGCTGGGCACTTAGATCATTTCTATTTCAACAGTTAAGAAATGATTCAAACTCCAGTTCACAATAAAATAGTAGTTTAACCACAGGCGTTTCTCTCCACTCCCTCCTGGGTCTAGATTAAAGTAGACAATAAAGAAATAAAGTTATGTAGGACCTGGCTGGGTAGTCAGTTGCTTGGAGCATCGTCCCAATACGCCAAGGTTGCCGGTTCAATCCCCAGTCAGGGCACATATAAGAATCAACCAATGAATACGTAAATAAGTAGAACAATAAATCAAAAACTCTCTCTTCCCCTCTCTAAAATCAATTTTTTTAAGTTTTTTTTTTCAAATTCTCATATAAATTATGTCTTAAACAATATTCTTAGTAACATTATTTTGGCTTATAACTTTTAGCAGCTTTGTTATTTAACATTCTCAGTAATTTTCATGTTGCGAATAATGTTACTAAAAATCAACTTACATGTGGTAGTGACAGACAGACAAACAGATGAATGCAACAGGACTGAGGTCTAGAAAGAAACACATATGTCTATGGCCAACTGATTTGGACATGGGAGCCAAGTACATTCAATTACAAAAGAACAGACTGTCCTTTGCTGAGACAACTGGATTTCCATATGTAAAGGAATGAAGTTGGATCCCTAATCACACGTGATATAAAAATTAAATCAAAATGAGTCAACAACCTAAAAAATCAGCACCTGAACTGCTAGGAGAAAACATGGGGCTAAATCTACATGACACTGGGTTTGGCAGCAGGCACTCAATTCTTAGTTATTACAAAAGAAGCATAGAATAAAAGAAAAAAGATAAATTGGACCTCAAAATTTAAAACTTTCGTCCATCAAAGGACATCATCAAGAAAGTGGAGACAACCTACAGAATGAGAGAAAATGCTTTCAAATCATATATGTGGTAAGGGTTTAATATTCAGAATACATATAGAACTCCTACAACTCAACAAAAAAAAGACAATCCAATTTAAAAATAGATAAAAGATTTGAATAAACATTTCTCCAAAGCAGATATACAAATAGCCAATGAGCACATGGAAAGATGTTCAACATCACCAGTCCTAGGGAAGTACAAATAAAAATCACAGCATTATTCACACCTGCTATGATGTCTATAATCAAAAAAGTGGAAAATCACAAATGTTGTCGAGAATGGAGATAAACTAGAACCCTCATATGCTGCTGGTGAAAATGTAAAATGGTACGACCGCAGTGGAAAAGTTTGGCAGTTCCTCAAAAAGCTAAATGTAGAGTTTCTATATAGCCAAGCAGTTCTACTCCTATGTACCCAAAATAACTGAAAACAGGGACTCAAACATGTAATTGTATGCCAATGTTCATAGCAGCATTATTCACAATAGCTAAAAAGTAGCAACCACCCAGGGCCCACTAACAGATGAATGGGTTAAAATGTGGTATATAGGTAAAATGTAATAATATTCTGCCATAAAAAGTAACTTCCCTGCCCTGACCACTGTGACTCAGCTGGTTAGGCATTATCCCGCAAAGCGAAAGGTCACCAGTTTGATTCTGGGTCAGGACGCTTGCCTGGGTTTCAGGTTCAGTTCCCTGACGGGGCGCAGATGAGAGGCAACCACTCGATGTTTCTCCCTCACATCAATGTTTCTCTCCCTTTCTTTCTCCCCCACCTTCCCCTCTCTCTAAAAATAAATACATAAAATCTTTTAAACAAAGAAAAAAGGAATGTTCAGATATATGCTACATGAATTAACCTTGAAAACACTGTGCCAACTGAAATAAGCCAGAACTAAAACAACAAATACTGTGTGCTTTACTTCCATTTATATGAAAAAATCTAGAATAGGCAAATTCATAGAAATACAAAGTAGATTAAAAGTTATAACAGGCTGAAGGTAAGAGGGAATGGGTAGTCATTGCTTAATGGTAATTACAAAGTATCTATTTGAGATAATTAAAAACTTTGGAAATAAATAGTGGTAATGGTTAATTAATTGGGAATATAATTAATGTCACTGAATTATAAGTTTAAAATGTTTTATTTTTGGATTTTATTTATTTATTTATTTTTAGAGAGAAAGGGAGGGAAGAAAGAGAGGGAGCGAAACATCAATGTGTGAGAGACACATGGATAGGCTTCCTCCTACACGCCCCCTACTGGGGACCCAACCCACAACCCAGGCACAGTCCCTGACTGGGAGTCAAACCTCGTGACCTTTCAGTTCACAGGCTTGCATTCAACTCACTGAGCCACACCAGCCAAGGTGAGCTTAAAATGGTTTAAATGCCAAATTTTGCGATAAATATATTTTACCACAATAAAAATTACCAAAAAAAAAATTAGCTTATGTTACTTATTTAAACTAAGTCTAGCAAGCCTACCTTTAAAAAAAATACTGAAAACAGTTATTTAACAGAAATTGATTACCTTTACCATATGAGTCTTTAAAAATCATGAAAAGAAGCTTAGTTACCTGAATGGTAAGCTAAGTTAATTACCTTGTTTTTTTTTTCAATAAGGTTGGTTAAAGATTTTTTTGTTTGCTTTAAATAAATAAAAATAAAAATACTCTTGCACATACCATATACACAGGACATACTTTATTAATATCTTGTATAATAAAAATCTGTGGTTTGACTCCTAGGCCTACTTAAATAAAGTAAAAGTAAAATAGGAAATTTAAGAAAAGGAAAATCTATTTTTTCTATCTGCACAACTAGCTCACATTAGACTTTATATTCTTTTCTGGGATGGAGATCCGCACAAGAGTAGATTACTTAGATGACCAAAGCAATTAGATGGACAGAAAAATTATCATTATCAGAAGAGCAACAGCAATCATTACTGAAGTACTTACTATAAAACCTAATACTTCCAAACACGGCCCTTTGAGCCAACAGCTGGGAACTTCACAGGCCCCAAGGCCTAATGAGAGTCCTCCCACTCTTGCCGTAGGTGCCCCGGCCAGTGGGAAGGCTCCTCACCCCGCTGGTTCCACAGTCGGGCAAACCAGTTGTGCTGCATTCAGTCCAAAGTTGAACTAGTTTTAGTTCCCTGCCAACTCTCAGAATTATTCAAACAAACTACTCCCGAACTCCCATAGCAAAGCGGGGGGAGAGTTACTTCAGCCTTTTGTTCCTACAAAGCCGGTCTCCCACAGGCCCTCTGGCCGCCTGGCTCTGTTCTCAAGTGCCACCCCCATGTGGTACCCAGTATCTTCCTCTCCCAAGCTGGGAGCAGACGTGACTGACCAACTGCTGTCCTCGCCTCTGACCAATGTCAAGGAGCACCCATTTCATCCTGTTCAGGACAGAAGATCCCTACATCACCAACGGACTGAATTGGAGGTGGTAAGAACAATTATTATATCTCAACTTTTCTGTCCAAACTAATATCACAGCTATAGATGTTATCATCTTCATGGAGGAGTACCCCAAGACCTAAAAGTTATTTCATGGATCCTCCTGTGTTTACAGATCGAGAAGGGCTGGTCTAGCCTCTCTCGGGCAGGGCAGGTACAAACAAGACCAGGTCCAGTCCTGTCTAGTTCTAC